TTTCTAGTAATATTGTCTACATTTACAGTGAATGAACCACTGTGGTCATGTTGTTGGACTGGTGACAATACCAACATGTTGGTTGCTGGTGGTCAGATGGGTTCCTTATATTATATTGACCGCAGGTATATGAAATTGTTTAACGCTGATCAGTCTCGAAAACTTGGTTGTGTTTCTCTCATCTCCATCCCACCATCAACTTCTCGAGCTTTCATTTATGGTGGGTTCTTGAAAACCAGAATGGACTATTTATCTATGTTTGAACAAGAACCTGGCAAAGAAATGCATTGCTACACAGAGACTGAATTGCCATTAAAAGGACTCTGGACTAATACTTCTTATGACTACAATTCTAATCTCATTCTATCAACATCCAAACCTTATGGTCCCAACAAGTCTGTCAGACATATTGTGTCTAAAATAGCAGATTACAATACAGAAGGACCTGTAGTAACTCCGGTTGTCACTTTTTATGGTTAGTCACGACATTAAGTATTTTATTGTACTCCTTTGTCCTTTGTAATGTTTTACTTACAATATGTTTGTCTYATATATTTTTAATRCTTYCAGCCGGTGATAAGGCTACACATTTGTCCCGCTCATGTTTGGTGMCARCCACTGGTGCTTCCTATGAAGACACACTTGCTTGTAGTTTTGATGAAAAATCAAAAACCATCAAGGTATTTAATGTCAATCAGGGAACCAATCCTCACAATTTCCAAGTAAATGAAAACTTTTTGGATTTATGCCCCTTACCTGGTATGATGAATAGCGGTAGACGATTATTGGCTGGTTTGTCAGAAAATGCTGTTAATTTGTTCACTGTTTAGAAAAAAAAAAACAAAGATAAAATATTCCGTTTTGGTTTGTATATGCATTTATAACTTATAAATTTAAATTAAAGATTTTTTCCACGAGCAAAATAATTGTAGTGCATTTGGTTAGGTTAGTCTAGTCTTAACCTAACCTAGCCTAACCATTTGATTGAACATTGTGTTATCCTATATTGATATATTTTAAACTTAGTTTCCTATTTAGTAAGATTGATGTCTGTTGACATACAATATTATCTGTTTGCTTTTATTAATATTTTATTGTTATGATTTATTTGCCATTTAATTTTAGTTGTATAATTAATATTAAATTTCCAAAACTTATTTACTTGTATAGTTCTATGAATAAATAGTTGACAAAAAATAAAATAAAAATATAACATAATGTAAAAATATTATTAAATTATGATAATATTATCACTAGAGTATGGATTCTACTGCACTAAAGAATTATAGAAAAATCTTTTAAAATAAAGCTCTAAAATCCTTTAAATAATTTATTATTTAATTATTTAATCATT